TTTAATATACATGTAGGTGACATAATTAGCTAAGGACAAAGTATTTGAGTAAAAATAAAGAACCTCCGCCAGCAAAGGAAATGGCGATAGTCGAAGGCAGTGATATCCTAGTGAAGGTATCTGTGGTTTTACACTTTTAGCCCATAGAACGAATTCCATAACGTATCTTCTTTAGCCAATAGTTGTTTCTTCACATATTTGACCTTTTTCTCATCTTCTAGAAATGAACATATTTGACAAAGAGAGATATTGATAAATCAATGGTTAAATAAAGGAAAATAAAAAAACGACCAATAGATGATAAAATATAAGGTCATTGGAGATTCATCTTTTCGGGAAAGTAAAGGATATAAATATATGATTTATCTCATTCAGATAGAAGATCATCCTTAGCTTAACCATTTTTCTTTGAGGAGGCACCTTATTCTCTTCTAATATGAGAGGATCTTTAATGGTTCGACTTAATTGCCAAAAAGTTCCATTCCGTTCCAACATTAAGACTCTTTTATTCAAATCTTTTCACAAACGATAAACTGAATTTTAGATAATTTTTTATTAGAACCTCATTTTCCTCTTGAAATTTCACTCTCTCTACGAGTCACGTTGACCTATTTTAGTTTGAGCATTAGAAAATCTTCAAGATGACAAGCTCAATTTTGTCTTCCTGAAAACTATTCTAACTATGTTTATGTTATCCCAGAGGTCCACAAAACCAAAATTTTACCAGCCAAAAGGTCTTTTGTTCCTGAGTTCAGCATCCTTATCAAAATTACATGAAGCGTCACATATTTTCACTTCTTACTTCTTAGTGGACGAATCTCCTATCCTCCACTGGCCCGAACAACTTTTAAAACTATAATTGACCATAAGTTTTTTTTGTTGAGTTATCATATTATGATATCTATCTTAAAACTCCGGTAACACAAATTTTTGGTTTTTTTTTTTTCAGTTTCTATACATATGAATTCACAAATGCTTCAAACTAAATTTTGAATTAACATACACAAATAGTTAGAGTACATTTGGATAAAAAAAAAAACAAATAAGTGTGATTTTGATTAATCCCAACTAAAAAACTGCAGAGTTGCATTTTATAATTTTATTGGAATAGAAAAAACGAATACTTACAATTTTAGGTGGAGATTTTAATTTAAAAAAAAAAAGTTAAAAAAAGAGCTACTGGCTCTTGTAGCTTTTATATTACACGACGTACGTATGACTTCTCACGACGTCTAAGAAACAAAAAAAATGATGAGAAAGACATTTCCCGGTTCGGTCCAAATCGCCGCCACCCAAATTACTCTCCACCGCTATTTCACGTGTGACTTCCACACTCCCTCCTATCTCCTATAAATATCACATCTTCTAAATAATTGAATATG